AACTGTCATTTATTAAACTGTAATTATTTATTATTATTGGAATTTATTAAACTGTAATTTATTGAGACCCCACCTGGAGTACAGCGGTCAGCTCTGGGGTCCCCAGCACAAGAAGGACATGGAGCTGTTTTGAGTCCAGAGGAGGCCACGGACATGATGCGAGGGCTGGGGCATCTCTGCTATGGAGACAGGCTGAGAGAGTTGGGGCTGTTCAGCCTGGAGAAGAGAAGGCTCCAGGGAGACCTTCCAGCACCTTCCAGTACCTAAAGGGGCTACTGGAAAGCTGGAGAGGGGCTTTGGACATGGGTGTGTAGTGACAGGACACGGTGCAATGGCTTTAAACTGAAAGAGGGGAGATTTAGATTGGATCTAAGGAAGAAACTTTTCACTCTGAGGGTGGTGAGGCACTGACACAGGTTGCCCAGAGAAGCTGTGGCTGCCCCATCCCTGGAAGTGTTCAAGGCCAGGTTGGATGAGGCTTTGGGCAACCTGGTGTAGTGGAGGGTGTCCCTGCCCATGGCAGGGGGGTTGGAACTAGATGATCTTTAAGGTCCCTTCCAACCCAAACCACTCTGTGATTCTATGAAAACAATTAAAAACACTGGAACGAGCATTTCCGTGTAACATAACAGCTAATGGGAAAGGTGAAGTAGTTACGTGACTACTTTTTGTTGCAGCCTAAAGTAGCTGACTCTGATGTTGGTTATTTACTCCAAGACATATCCTGTTTGGGGTTTGAAAAACTAAACTGTTTTCTTTTTTTTCAAATAGGAGATTTTACAGAATTTACGGCAGCGGCCCAAGACCTTTTGACCTGTCGCAATCAAACTACAAATCCACTTGCCAGAGGTAAAATTAATTTATAACTAAACTAGAAACATTTCTGAAACTTGTCCATTTCTTCTGTTAAGTCAGGGGACCAAAATGTTATTTGTGAGAGTAAAAACACAATCTCGAAATCCAGGTTCGTCGAGAAATTCAATGAACTGAAGGAAGAAGGAAGAGTTGAAGAGGAAAAATTGTTTGAAGAAACAGGAAAAGCCCTTTTAGCCAGTGGGATAATTTTACAGAGAAGAGGAATGGATAAAGTAAGTGTTCAGTATTCAGAGTTCCTTGGCCAGTGGATTCAGCAAACTTCACTTCCAGGCCCTGAAAGCTGAGTTAGTCTGAGTGAAATTCTCAGCAAATTGCAGTTTATTACAACCTGATGGGTTTTTTTATTACAACCTGCTGGTTGTAATAAAAAAAAAAAAAGGTCTTTGCTGTGCAGAGTCAACTTCTCTTGGCTGTGACTGGCCAGGGTGAAGGTGCTTCTTGTGGAGCACTTGTTCTGGTGATGGAAGATTTAAGTCTTCAAATAATCCATCGATCCATCGCTGTGTCTGTGTAAACCATTTGGAAACGTGTGTGTGTGTGTGACCATATCCACGTTATCCCTGTCAGGTGGCAGGGGGAGATGAGAACCTGTTCTGGTTTGAAGGTCACAAACGCTTTTCCATCCCTTTTTAATTGTTAAGTAGTCTAATGCACTCTTGTTCTTCAGTCTTGATCCTGAGCTGGAATTTTTTTCATAAAGCTTTCCAGTTTGGGTTGTTGTGGTTTGTTTTGGTTTTGGTTTGGTTTATTTTAAAGGTATTGAAATAGAGGTTTGTAGTCTGGGGGTTTTGTTTATTTGTATTTTTGGCAAGAAAATAACTGTCCAAAAGAACTGTCTGAAGTTCTTCAGAAGAACTGTTCTTCAGAACAGAGTTGTGTTCTTCAGAAAGCTCCTGCTTTCTGTTTTCCTGAATGTGCAAGAGCGGGAATAGCTCCTGGAGTCTAGTTTCTTGTTACTTCAGGCAATTGTCGTGTAACTCGTAACATAAAATGGGGTGAAAAACCCAACTGAAGATGCTTCTAGAACAGCACACCGGGTAGAGCAGGACGTGGCTGCTCTGTGGTGGTTAGAAATCTTGTTCCTTGTACCATTTCTTCTGGGAATGCTGCGCTTTTAGTCAAACACCCTCAAAAAGAAGGGAGAAGGTACAAAAGCTGCACTTTTAAACACCGTTAGCTAAGTTAATTTGTTATTCTCCTTTGTAATACACTCTCTGGTCTCCTCCTGGTCCACTTTCCTCTTGGCCAAGTGTCCGTAGTGCTTTCCCCAGTAAAAGAGGGTGAAGAGGCACAGGAACTGGTTTTGCTTAACGCCCACAATGAGCGTGTGAAAAGATGAAACCACTGACTTGCTTTCATCTTTGAGCTTGAGGTCAGCAGTCTCGTTTAAATTTCTTGCCCTGGTGATACCTTAACACTGGATTTACCTTAAAAATGGTCTAAGCCTGAATGAGAACTTTTCTCTCAGCTTTTTTTTTTTGAGCTACAAACTGGCTGTTGCTTCCTGTTGTTCTCTTCAGTCACCCTTCAACAGGAACTTTTGGCAACTCGTTTTTCTGTCGTCGTCTGCAGGTAGCACAACAGGATCATCAGGATGTTGAAACCAAGGATTCTGCGTTACACCTGCAGCTTCGAGCTGTGTTGGAGGAGATGCAGGAAAAGAAGAAAGATCAGGAGGAGCCGACGCCGGAGCTGGCAGGAACGCAGAAGGAAAATCCCTGACCCTCCTGACGGCCGTGCAGTTGTCCTGTGGCGCTCGGCTGCACGATGTGCCCTGCTGGGGCAATCACCTGCTCAGGAGCCACAGCCTGGGTGTCAGAGACACTTTATGGGGGGAACAGGCCTCAGTTCTCCAGCTCCAGTGTCTCCCGTGGTCGTGTCGGGCACACGTGGTTGTTCTTCTGTCTCCCCGTTTGTAAAACTGGGAGATAATCCCCTTTTTTGAGGTTCAAGCACGTTATCTCAAATTGTAAGTCGGAAAAGACGAGTCTAAAAGTGGAAAATTAAATGTTTTCTTTAAAAATTGGAAGTTAAGTGTCTTATTTGGAGTAGGAAAGGTGTTTCTGAACTTCTGGCACCAGACGGCACAGTGGCAGTCCTGCTGCTGGGATGGCA